GTCAGCTAGTGCGGATGACATCACAACGTTGCCATTCATTGGGATAGCGTCTTGTAGTACTCTACAAATGGCTCTTGAAATGACATTACAGCAGGCAACAGCATTCATTAAGTGGGCCCGTGCTTTGCCTTGCATTATATAACGGATGGTGTCTGTTTTGAGCTTGTACAGGACTCTGCTACTGAGATGATACTGCCATCTTGTGTTTAATCAGTACATCACTGGAATTTCATCATACCTGGTGCAAAATACACCTCCGGAACGTGAGTGTATTTCATGTTTTAATTGATGAATAAATGTTTAAAAAGGATAAAGCACTATGTCAAGTTCTTTTTAATGAGGAATGCGGCCGATACGAAGACGCTTATGAGGAGGGAGCTTACTTTGGAGTCTTCATTCAGCAAGCTGATCTTAGACCATAACATTGTATAATGTGAGGTCACATTGCGTTAGATGAGCAGATATATGGTGGAGGATGTCTTTGCGCGGAAATTGATTACAGATGCACATATTTTTCATTATCTAAAGGAGGGTTCACTGAATGAACTCTGTATTGATTGAACTTCATTTTTTGAATGACTTTGATTCATACTTATATACAGTGAGGAACAGAAGTATTTGAACACCCTGTGATTTTGCAAGTTCTCCCACTTAGAAATCATGGAAGGGTCTGAAATTCATATTGTAGGTGCATTCCTACTCAGAGACAGAATTTAAAAAAAAATTCAGGAAATCACATTGTATGATTTTTAAAGAATTTATTTGTCTTGCACTGCTGAACAGAAGTATTTGAACACCTAAGAAACAGCAAGAATTCTGGCTCTCAAAGACCTGTTACTGTGCCTTTAAAAAGTCCACCTCTACTCCACTCATTAATCTAACTTAGTAGCACCTGTCTGAGCTCTTTAAAGACACCTGTCCACCCCGCAGTCAGTCAGACGCCAACTACTACCATGGGCAAGACCAAAGAGCTGTCAAAAGACACCAGAGACAAAATTGTGGACCTCCACAAGGCTGGAAAGGGCTACGGGGCAATTGCCAAGCAGCTTGGTGAAAATAGATCAACTGTTGGAGCAATGGTTATAAAATGGAAGGGGCTAAAGACGACTGTCAGTCTCCCTCGGACTGGGGCTCCATGCAAGATCTCACCTCGTGGGGTATCACTGATAAGAAAGGTGAGGAATCAGCCCAGAACTACAAGGGAGAAGCTGGTCAATGACATGAAGAGAGCTGGGACCACAGTTTCAAAGGTCACTGTTGGTAGAACACTACGCCGTCATGGTTTCAAATCATGCATTGCACGGAAGGTTCCCCTGCTCATCACATGTCCAGGCCTGTCTGAGGTTTGCCAATGACCATCTGGATGATCCAGAGGAGGCATGGGAGAAAGTCATGTGGTCAGATGAGAACAAAGTAGAACTTTTTGGTCTAAACTTCACTCGTCGTGTTTGGAGGAAAAAGGATGAGTTGCATCCCAAGAACACCATCCCTACTGTGAAGCATGGGGGGTGGTAACATCATGCTTTAGGGGTGCTTTTCTGCAAAGGGGACAGGACAACTGCACTGTATTAAGGAGAGGATGAATGGGGCCATTTATTGTGAGATTTTGAGCAACAACCTCCTTCCCTCAGTCAGAGCATTGAAGATGGGTCGTGGCTGGGTCTTCCAACATGACAACGACCCGAAGCACACAGCCAGGATAACCAAGGAGTGGCTCCGTAAGAAGCATATCAAGGTTCTGGAGTGGCCTAGCCAGTCTCCAGACCTAAATCCAATAGAACATCTTTGGAGGGAGCTGAAATTGCATGTTGCTCAGCGACAGCCCCGAAACCTGACAGATCTAGAGGAGATCGGTGTAAAGGAGTGGGCCAAAATCCCCGTTGCAGTGTGTGCAAACCTGGTCAAGAACTACAGGAAACGTTTGACCTCTGTAATTGCAAACAAAGGCTTCTGTAGCAAATATTAACACTGATTTTCTCAGGTGTTCAAATACTTATGTTCAGCAGTGCAAGACAAATAAATTCTTTAAAAATCATACAATGTGATTTCCTGAATTTTGTTTTTAAATTCTGTCTCTCAGAGTGGGAATGCACCTACAATGTGAATTTCAGACTCCTCCATGATGTTTAAGTGGGAGAATTTGCAAAATCGCAGGGTGTTCAAATACTTCTGTTTCTCACTGTATATAAAAAACCACAGTTTATTTTACACACACACACTTACACACACGTTTTTTTTTATATATATATATATATATATATATATATATATATATATATATATATATATATATATATAGTCATATATTTATAATTTTATTTCAATATTAATATTTTTTCTTCTAATATATATTTATTTCTTCACTTTGTTTTTTGGTTATATAATGGTTTATACCATTGTTTCAAGTAGCGCAGCATTTTTTCAAAATCACGTATATATGCGTGATTTTGCATTTCCGGGTAGGAGAAATTTCGCAGCCGCCAATCACCGGGTCACGGCCGGTGATTACTCACCCGCGGCTGGTGATTTCCGACAGGGAGGAGAACTGTTTTGTTTACTAACCGTTCTCCCTGTCAGCTCAAGCACACTACTCTGGATGGCTGTGCACAGCACAACCATCCAAACAAGTGTGCTTACAGTCAAGCACACTGACACCGCCCCCCTAGTAAAACACTCCCAGCACACAGTGAACCCTTTGATCGCCCATCATGTTAACCCCTTCGTGCCCAGTACCATTAGTACAGTGTTAGTGCTTTTTGTTTTCTAGCACTGATCACTGTATTGGTGTCACTGGGGATGTCAGTGACACCAAGTGAGTTCCCCCCACTGTCAGAATGTCCGCCGCAGTCCCACTATAAGTTGCTGATCGCCGCCATTACCTGTAAGAACAAAACAAATCCCAGTAAATATACTGCCATTTGTAAATGCTAAAACGTTCACGTTAACCAATTAATTTACATATATAATGATTTTATTTTTAGCAAAGACACGTAGCAGAATACGTTTTGTCCTAAATTTATGAAGAAATTTGATTTTTTTTTAACCACTAGCCTACAGGGCACTTATATCCCCTTCCTGCCCAGGCCAATTTCCAGCTTTCAGCGCTGTCACACTTTGAATGACAATTGCGCGGTCATGCAACACTACCCATATGAAATTTTTATAATTTTTTTGTGACAGATACAGCTTTCTTTTGGTGGTATTTAATCACCTCCTGGTTTTTTATTTTTTCTTAAGCAAACCAAAAACCACTGAAAATTTTGAAATAAAGTTTTCTTAGGTTTTTGTTATAAAATTTTGTAAATAAGTGATTTTTCTCCTTCACTGATGTGCGCTAATGAGGCTGCAGTGATGTGATGGGCAGTGACAGGCATCACTGACATTAATAGGTGGCACTGAAAGGCAGCTCAGATGGGCACTGATAAGTGGCATTCATGTGGCACTGGCAGGTGGCATGGATGAGCACTGAGAGCTGGCACTGCTGGGGCTACACTGATCATCAGGGAACATGTCCCCTCCGAGGAATGCCGATTACCGGCTCTCCTCACAAGCTGTCACAGTGACAGCTCGTGAGGAGAGAAATGCCGATAACCGACATTTCCCTGTTTACATGCGATCAGCTGTGATCGGACACAGCTGACCACACGACCGAGCCGACATCTTCAGCTCTTTCCGTGGGTCGGTGATCCACTGTGTCCAAGGGACACAGCGCACCGCCAATCACCACGCACTCCCGGAGCCGTGCATGCGCGGTAAGAATGGGAGGACGTCATATGACGTCCTCCCAGAACGAGAGAACCACCTTGCATCCGTCATTGGACTATATGGCTGGTGGGAGGCGGTTTACATTTTTTTACTGGACATGTTTGATAGCATAATGTCAAAAATATAGTTATTTTTCTCAAAATTGTTGGGGGTTTTTTTTATAGCAAAAAAAAAAAAAAAAAAAGCACAGGCGATCAAATACCACTGAAAGAAAGCTCTATTCGTGGGGAAAAAAGGGACTAAATTTCATTTGGGTGCAGCGTTGCATGACTGTACAATTGTCAAAGTAACGCAAAAAACGCCCTGGCCAGGAAGGGCGGTAAATCCTCAGGAGGGCAAGTGGTTAAAAAAGCAGAACTGGCTGCTGAAAAACCAATACTGGGATGATCCCTGGAGCTGCAGACATCATCCCGGTATACCAGTGCTGACGTATATATCTACGTACTGCGGTCTACAAGTGCTTTGTTATTCTGTTGAAGGAGACTGTATTTTATACACAAAACTGACAAAAATGCATGAAAAATGTGGGTACATGAGTTCCTACTGAAGTCTATGGAGCAAAGAAAAAAACACACCTGCACACTTTCAGAAAGACATGCTACATTGATGCGTACACACACCATACAGAAGAATGATCGCCATTGTTGCGTATGCCCGTGCCACAGTGTGAATGGTGGCTAAAAGCCAACATACTCCTGTGACCCACAAGAACAGCTTTGGTCATACTTCTCTTCTGAGGGTGCAGGCCAGCCAATGTGTGAGGAGCAGCTCTCTACCCTCCTGTGACCCACAAGAACAGCTTTAGTCATACTTCTCTTCTGAGGGTGCAGGCCAGCCAATGTGTGTGAGGAGCAGCTCTCTGCCCTCCTGTGACCCACAAGAACAGCTTTGGTCATACTTCTCTTCTGAGGGTGCAGGCCAGCCAATGTGTGAGGAGCAGCTCTCTGCCCTCCTGTGACCCACAAGAACAGCTTTGGTCATACTTCTCTTCTGAGGGTGCAGGCCAGCCAATGTGTGAGGAGCAGCTCTCTGCCCTCCTGTGACCCACAAGAACAGCTTTGGTCATACTTCTCTTCTGAGGGTGCAGGCCAGCCAATGTGTATGAGGAGGAGCAGCTCTCTGCCCTCCTATGTACACAAGTGCAGAGCCTGCTGCCTCTGGGGAAGACATACATTCAGACCCATTGGGCCTCCATAGAAGGATGGGGTAGAGCACTGCGCACTACTAGCAGTCACCTTACTCCTGACTCTCTCGTATTCTTCCACCGACTTGCAGCTGGACGCCGCCTCAGCCCACTCCAGGCTCTTTGGCGCGCTGCGCTCGGACAGGCTGTGGAACGCCTCGAAATAGAGCCACGCCACGTCCTCCAGCAGCTGCAGCTTCCCGCAGGCGATGTGCCGCCACATAGTCCAGCAGAGGCGCGGGAAGCAGCCATCCACTGACCGAGTCCGTACGTACGTTGCCATCTTCCTCAGGTAATGCAGGTTGAATTTAGCCGGCGGAGGAAACTGCAAGACTCCGATTAGAAACGGGTCCACCCTCGCCCACATCTGTACCCGGTGGGTATCCATGGCGGGTATCCGTGTACCTGTCCTCCAGGACCCGGCAGCTGCCAATGCTTGTCGCACTCCGGACACAACTCCAACTGGAGGTGACGCGAAACCTAGGAGACGCCACCATGTGGGCGGAGGGCAGGAAGACACGGAAGTGATGGGGACACGAGGAGTCCAAACGTTACAGCCAATTGCCATCTTCCGCCAGTACTGAACTTGTCTGCTCAGTGGCTGACTGAAGAATGTGGAAATTTTGTTAACCACTTGACCTCCTGAGGATTTACCCCCCTTCCTGACCAGGCCTCTTTTTGCTACTCGGCGCTGAACTAATTGCGCGGTCATGCAATGCTGTACCCAAACGAAATTTACGTCCTTTTTTTCACACAAATAGAGCTTTCTTTCGGTGGTATTTGATCACCTGTGCGCTTTTTATTTTTCACGCTATAAACAAAAAAAAAGGCCAAAAAGTTTGAAGAAAAAACAATATTTTTTACTCTCAGCTATAAAAAATATATAGTAAACTCAAAGTTGGTTATAAATTTAGGCCAAAATGTATTCTGCTACATGTTTTTGGTAAAAAAAATCCCAGTAAGTGTATATTGATTGCTTTGTGTGAAAGTTATAGCGTCTACAAACTATAGTATAGATAATGGAATTTACGCCATTTTTTTTTTTGCTATACTGCGCTGCGCTAGTTTAATGGACAATTGCGCGATCATGCAATACGGTACATAAATGAAATTTACATCCTTTTTTTCCCACAAATTGAGCTTTCTTTCAGTGGTATTTGATCGCCTGTGCGGTTTTTATTTTTTGCGCTATAAAAAAAAGGCTAACAATTTTGAGGAAAAAAACCAATATTTTGGACTTTTTGCTATAAAACATGTCCAGTAAAAAAAAATTAAAAAATCAAATTTAGTCATAAATTTCTGCCAAAATGCATTCTGCGACATGTCTTTGCTAAAAAAAAAAAACCCAATACGTGTAAATTAATTGGTTTACATGAAAGTTATAGCGTTTACAAATGGCGGGAAAGATACTGGGATTTTTAGGTTTTTTTATACTAATAATGGCGGCGATCAGCGACTTATGGCGGCGATCAGCGACCTATGGCGGGACTGCGGCGGACATTCTGACATTGGCGGGTACTGACTTGGGGTCATTGACATCCCCAGTGACACCAATACAGTGATCAGTGCAAAAAAAAAACACTGACCTACTAATGGCACTGGGGAGGAAGGGGTTAAGTTTATTTTTCAGGGAATGGGTTAACTGTGTGAGGGGAGTGTTTTACTAGGGGGGGGGCGGGGGTGTGTACTGCACGGGACACTGCTGATCAGGAGAGAGAAACTCTTCTGTCCCGATCAGCTTGTCCTGGAGCTGTCAAGGAACTGACAGAAAGCACAGCTACTGCAGCTGTGCTCTCTGTCAGCGATTGCCGCCGATCGCCGGGACATAGCCGGTAACAACCGGCTGTGACCTGGCAACTGACATCCGCGGCTGTGATCGGCAGGACAGGTAGGGCGGCAGCGCGCCTCGCTCGCGCCCCCTACCTGTTTACAAAACACACGTTTTAAAACGTGGTTTTGCCCAGCTGTGCCGTCCTGCCGCCATATTTATACAGTGGCTGGGCAGAATGTGTTTAAGAGAATTTCAAAATTAACAAACAGGATCATAAGGTGAAAATAAATGAGAAAAAAGCTTTACAGGATAAGTTCACCTTTTTTACAAAAATAATAAATGTACATATTTTTGCAGGTAAAACAATGTGCATTTATTATTTCTGTCTGCAGGAGCCTGGAGTGCATTGCACCACTGATCAGTAGATTGCTGGTGCCATGCAGGTCTCCTGCAGACCTGTCAGAAAATCTGCTTGCCATACAGGATGTACAGTCAAGCAGATGTACTGACAGGAAGAATCCATGAACTACCACGGTGCTCCACAGCACCATGGTAGTTCAATGAAAGCTACAAGCTGACAGCCACCAAGGCTGTTGGGACTAGTAGGCACTCATTCACAGAACACTGTGAATGGGTGGAGCCCCACACAGCTGCGCTGTTTTCAGTATGGGGAGAAGTTTCCCGTACTATCTGTCGGGGGGGTGCGGCTATGGCAACATGTTACAAGTTCCACCCTAAAAACAGATGGAACATGTTCCAAAGGTGAACTTTTCCTTTTAAAAAGCCAATCAATGTAGCCACCACATCTAAGAATTGGTAAGATGCAATATAATACATTGTATTATTGGTTTATTACTGATTTAAAGCAGATCTTCACCCCCAAAATAATCAAAAGTCCCCACTCTCCACCCTTCCACTACTCTGATATATTATCACCTTTTCTTTTTTTTACTGAAAAATGTTCAGTCCCACCTCCTAGGTGAATGTCATGTACTGTGCTGGCTGTGCCTCCTAGGATATGCATGTCACATATCCCAGGAGGCCTAGTCTTTAATTCACGAAGGAAGAGGGGCAGGCCCAGCAGAGCATCATTGGAAAGACACAGAAGAGCTGGTAGCCTCCCAATCACATCACGCACATACATGGCAGCATGGGACCGGGGCAGCGGCTGCATAGAAGAGGATCTTGACAAGAAAATGCTGGATCCACTAGGTATCTAAATTGTGGAAAACCAGCAACAAGGTAAGCAGGGGTTAAAAAAAAAAGAGAGGTGAAGATCCATTTTATATACTGCCGCCTACAGAAAAATTAGGGGCCATAACCCCTACCGTTACTAGCCTGCTTAAAACGTAACTAAAACCGCTAATGTAACTTTCTGAAAACAGTTTAAAGCAGAGCTCCACCCAAAAGGAGAAGTTCCGCTTTAAGCCTTTGTTCCCCTGCTCCCCATTAAGGATTGGCACCTTTGGGGAACTGGGGGAAGCAGGTAAGGTACCCAAATTTGACAGTTACTCGCTCCCACTTCCGCCGCGATTGCCTAGGCGATCAGAAGCGGAAGTTGTCCTCCCCTCCCTCCCCGTAGTCTTATGCAACATGTGACAGGTTCCAGAAGACTATGGGGCCATTCACAAAGCGCAGCACTTCTTGCGCATGCCCAGTGGGCACCCGGATGTGAAGCCGCAAGCTATCACAGCCGGGTGACCACACTGAAGATCCCGGCGCCAGTGAGAGAAGACGGCCGGTGAAACCAGCGGTGTAATTACCACCGCTGGACCAAGGGACAGGTAAGTGGTTGTATTTTAAGAGTCAGCAGCTACAATTTTTGTAGCTGCAGACTTTTTTTTTTTTTTTTTTTTCAGGTGGAACTCCACTTTAAATTAAAGGCATTGCCTTAAATTGGCCTTTTTCATTCCGGGTACCGAGATTTCTTCAGGGGTGCCTTGGCAAAATGCCTAAACATTTACAAAAAATTGTATTCAAGCCAGCATGCCTTTTCGTTACACAAAGCCACAGGTTTTCATTGTACACCATTCCATCATTGTTTGATAAGGAGGATGTCGGGCAATGGTGTATTTTCTTTGGAAGAATAAATCACCTCAAATATTGGGTGTTCTACATGCGTGGATGTTGTTGCAATACGTAAATATATATATATATTTTTTTTAACATCTTAGAATGGGGCACCTTGAAATTGTGCAGAATTTTAAAGGGTGCCTTGACTGAAAAAAAGATTGAGAAACACTTCACGGCTTGACAAATTTGCTTTTAATCTAGGAGCCAGCTAAAAAGTTAGGAGCTAGTTTTTTTTAGTGTAGCATGGATTGTCAGCGCCCAGGGCAAGGCAAGTAATTTGCTCTCCCTAACCCTAACTTACAGCAGAGCGGCCAGCCAATAACCTTGACGTAACGCCATTATGTCAGGGTTATAGTGTGACAGCTGGAAAGAATGACAGTAAAAACCTGTTATGGAGGAAATTCATTATTATGCCAATTGCCCTCTCACCAATTTTCACAAATCCCCCCACCCACACAGCTATCGCCTCTTCACAAATCCATTACTGACTTCAGTCCCAACGTTACTGTCCTGAGCTCCCCCCTTAACTGTTCTGAGCCTTCCCAATACTGTCCTGAGCCCCCCATTACTGACCTCAGTCCCTCCATTACTGTTCTGAGCTCCCCCCTCCTGAATCCAGCACATCTGTGCCTCCAATTGACCCTTCCAGCATACTTGACTCAACTACCCCCCCCCCCTTCCCCCTCATCCAGCACACATATGCTTCCAATACCCCACCATCTAGCACATCTATACCTCCAAACCAACCCCCCCCACCACCATCTAGCACATTTGTGCCTCCAATCCCCCCCCTTCCCATCCAGCACACTTATTCTATTCCCCGGTAGTGGCGTCCCATCAGCACCTGAGCCCCTCATTACTTTCTCTGTGTCTCGGGGAGGCCCCTATGTCTGGTGTACAGCGGGGAATTTGCATCTATTCTTCCCCCCGCCGCTCCTTCGGTGTCTCTCCTGCTGCTGCCTCCTCTTTTTCACACACACCGAGAGAGAAACATCGCAGGAAGATGATGTCAAAACTGCCGCGCTCTGACTCCACCCATCTCCTTCTACAGTGGTGCACTCTTGCCTCTGCCTGGCAACTGTCCCCTGTGCGAGCTCGTGGTGGGAACTGACGAAAGCCCAGGATGTGATTTTTAGTCGCCATGGCGACCTGACGCCTGGAATTTGTTGAGCCCTGCCTTAACCCCTACCTGACACCGCCTCCTGGAACTTTAGCAGGATCTAAATGCCGGGAGGTGGAGATGGGAATTCAGATTGGCAGTCACCTGATCAGAAAGCCCCTGATCGCAAGTATACATTTAGAGCTTTCCGGGGTGGGGGGGGGGGGGGGGGGGAGTACCTCCTCCTCCTTATTGTGCTGGGAGCATGCAGGGAGCACACTCTAAGCCTAGCAAAGTCTTTACTGAGGGACACACATACGCTCAGCGTTCGAGCCCACCCACCGTGAGGCTGCATTTATGCGCCCGTTTGGTGGGAAGTGGTTAAATTATTAACTGTTACTAGGGTGCTTATGTTAGCTCTCAACTGAACTGTCAAGCCAACAAA